AGGTAAAATCTTATGTTTTGCACCTGACCAAAAACCCACCAATCCTCCAAGCAGTGTTTTATGTTTTATATAACACATTGAAGACTGGCCCCTTTTCTTTTTTTCTTTTTGCCTCTAATTACTGCATGGGAAGTCTTTCACCATATGACTTACAAAACTGCAAACTTTTCATTGAATTTTTATCACCAAAGCATGAATAATGCATTCAGTTCTGAAATGTCACCGTGAACATCAAATGGTTTTACATAATGCATTCTTGCTGGAGTTTCAAGAAGACAGCAGTCCGGGAAGCAGCAGAGGCAAGAGTTTGGAAGGGCAACTTGTCATTTGATACAAACTTGTCATTTACCTAGGAGGGATAAAATAAGTAGCAGAAGAGTAAGTGGAAAGACTGAGAAATGAAGTTGTTGTTTTTTTTTAAACCATAAGTAGGAAAAAAACCCAAAAAACAAAAGTGGTACACTTGCCACTGGGGACAGGTGAGGAAAAAGCCAGAAGGTAGCCAAAAACAAATGTTCTGGGTTGGGAGGAAGGGAAATTAGAAACCCCCTAAGTATAGGAATTAAATCTGAAACTGCAGTGCAATGATATCACGATTTGGAACCATAGTAAATATATAATAAGCCTCAGGGACTGTTGGGAACATCTTTGATATTTTCCGACTGAGGAATCTTGAAGTGGAAATGTAATGCTATTAAAATTCTACCTTTCAATGCTTTATTAGTTTATGATAGTGCCCATCCTTCCAGCATCCCTTTCTCTTAGGTCTTGAGATAAATCCAGCTGAATGAAGTGTTTAACCCTCTTATGGAATATGCTGTTACTTGTCTACCCAACAGTTGTTTTCCTGCTTTTCTTGCTAATAGAACCCTCATTTTATTTTTCTCCAGGTAGTGTATTCTATCGAGGACACTTGATCACAGGGAGGATGGGCCTCATCTCAGCCCCATGGAATTAAGCATGACTAGCCTAAAGCAGCCATCGCAATCCCACTCCCTTTAGCTAGTGATTGGTCAGGGGTAAGCACGTGTAATAGTTTTCTATTGCTGCTGTAACAAATTAGCACAGAGTTACTATTTCACAGTTTTGTAGGCCCTAAGTTTGTGTTGGCTCACTTGTTTTTTTTTGGCTCTGAGTTTTATAAGGACAGAATGGCTGTCAGCTGGCTGAGCCCTGATACTGTGGGAAGGATCTGCTTCCAAGATTATACAGATTGTGGGCAGAACCCAGTTCCTTGTGGTTGTACGACTGAGGTCCCCACTTCCTTGCTGGCTATCAGCTGGGGCTGCTTCTAGCTTCTAGAAGCCTCTCTCCAGACCCTGCACACAGACTCTTACCTTTCTGAGCCAGCAACAGTATGTTGAATCCTTAACACTTGCAATCTTTTTGATTTCTTCTGCTCGATCTCTCTTGCTCTGGACAGAGTAGATGTTCTGTTCTGTTTTGTTTTTGATTCAAACTTTGTTTAAAACAGCCCACAAGCTGTATACCGGACTGTAAACACTGGAAGGCCAGCTTCATCGTTCCTCTTCCTCCTTTAACAACCACCAAGACTAGCGTTCAGATCCGATGGGAAAGAGAACCAGAGGGTTGGATGTTCTATTCTTAAGGAATTGTACGGTTATACTGGGCCCCTAGATACTCTATTTTGAGGTTTGCAAACGTCATTATTCCCGCATATTCACAGGTTCCAAGGATTAGAGTGTGGATATCTTTGGGGATCCATTATTCTGCCTCCCATAGTATGCAACCCATGTATGATCAAAGAAACAAGGAGTCCATGGGGAACTTTGTTTCCTGGATGAAAAGACAGAGACCCTGCTCCTTTTTTCCAGCTAGAGACACTAGTATGGGGACAAGATAATCTGGGAGCACCTGCAGCAGCCACCTTTTAACAAGGAGACATTAAGAATGAGGATAAAAAGTCAACATACAAAGGGTGGTGGAGTGGGACAGTAGGAAGCACCTGGGTTCTTGAAACATTTTTGAACAGTAGAACCAATACCAGTGATTGCTTTTGTCTGGGTGACTTGTCAGTTGAGGAAAATTAATTTTTTTTTTTAAAGCAGTCGGTCTAGTTTTCTGTCACTGGCAACTAAAAGCAATTCTGAACGATATGTTGCTCCTAGCCTTGATTTCTGGAGCTCTACTGTGGGACAGACCTCTGCTTTTCCATGCTTAAAATGTTGTATTGACTAATCTGATTAAATTAATTTATATAGTAATTCATAATAAATGTATTCAGTCGTGGCACCAATCTTAGCTTCACCTTGAGACTGTGCTCAGGGTTACAGAGTCCAGGAAGGGGGTCCAGGGGTCAGAAAACTATAGCCCATGAGCCAAATCCTGCTGGCATAAGCCAGGGGAGCTAAGGAAGGTTTTTAGATTCTCAAAGCGTTGTTTAAAAACAAAACAAAACAAAACCAGAACAAAAAAAGAATATGTGACCAGAGACCATGTGTGGCTACTAAACTGAAAATATTTATTATCTGGTCCTTTATAGAAAAATCTTGCTAACCCCTGCACCTGTCATACAGAGGACTGCACCTACCAAGAAGCTGAGATAGATTTTACTGAGGAAAGAATCATTAGGTCAGCATTTAATACCTTCAAGAAATAATTATAGATCACCATGTAAAGCTTTTGGCACAGGGGAAGATGAATTCTATCTTCAAGTTAAGTTTCTTTTCAGCTCAACATTTAATAGATTTCTGTTATTACAAGACTATAGAAGACACTGGAGTTACATAATGAATAAAACAGAATCTTAATGTAGCTGAAAATCACTTCAGGGAGTCATCTTCTCTGGGAGAAACGATCCATGCAATTCCAAGCAAAAGATAAGGGCCTGTATAAAACAGTTTCATGCAAAATTTTATACGTATCCACCTTTTTCTAAGGATATGGAGGCAAGGATGGAGAGTGGGCGGTTGGAAATTTGTGCCTGTAACACAAGATCAGAAAGGTAGAAAAGTAACGAACAACCATTTAATAGGTACTTTATAGTAATTAATTATCACATCAATCCCCAAAAGTGAATGCTATTCTGCAGTTTCTGCGTCAGGTCACACCCCAATGCCCATATTGTTTTCACTAAACCAAACTGCCTCCTAAAGGGAAGTCAGGGGTGAAGATAAAAGTTTAAGGAATGATTCACCTATCCCTCAAACTCTGGGGCAACAGATGGGGAAAGACTACAGAATAAGAAGAGGATCAAACAAAACCTGAAGGATTGCTTCTATTTAATTGTGGAAAGATGAAGGCAAGCTAGTGAAAAACTCTAAAAACAAGTGATCACAATGTGTAAAGAGAACTAAGAACTAAGGTAGTTTCTTTCTTAAGATTTTTTTAATTTATTTATTTGACAGACACAGCGAGAGAAGGAACACAAGCAGGGGGAGTGGGAGAGGGAGGAGCAGGCTTCCCGCGGATCAGGGAGCCCGACGCGGGGCTCAATCCCAGAACCCTGGGATCATGACCTGAGCGGAAGGCAGACGCTTAATGACTTGAGCCACCCAGGCGCCCCAAGAACTAAGGTAGTTTCATGGAGGCTAAGAAATTCAAAAGTTTTAAAAGCTTCAGTACCTTGGATAAGAAGATGAAATAACTGAATTTGCCCAAGAGGAGATATTTTACATTGTTGTCCAATTTGGTAGCCACTAGCCACATGCAGCTATTTAAATTTAAATTCGTTAAATCCCAAATAAAAAATTTAAAAATTCAAAATTCAGTTCCTTAGTTGTACTTGCCACACTTGAAACGCTCAAAAGCCTCATATGGTCAGTGGCTACCATACTGGACAACTAGCACATCTCCATCATCACAGAAAGCCCTAGTGGAGTGTGTTTTTGAACACATCCAGTTGTGCAGAAGTAACACAATGGGGAGACTGAGCAGGTTTTCCCTTATCCTCTCTTCCATAGTCGGCGCTGTGCGCTTGATCTGTCCTCTCCAGCTCGCACTTGGCTCTTCACTGTTGCAATTCGGCTTAGCCTCACCCTCTCTTCCCTGGACTATTGCAATGGCTGCCTATCTGCCCCCCAACTTCTGTTCTTTCCTCCTTCTAACCTGTTCTCCATAAAAGTGCCTTTTTCCCTGGCCAGCCAGCCTCTGCTTTTACTGCAGGTCCACGGTGATGGGGTGCGCGTGGGGGCCCTGCATCGATCGGCACTATGCAAAGGGACGTCCTCCTCACTCCCTTTCTTTCGCTGTACTCACACAGCTCACAGTTCAATGCAGGCAGAATGGTGACAGTACATTCACGTCCCACACATGACATGAGAGCGGGAACAATGGCTAATCATCATCATCTCCCTTGTCTTCTGGTCTGTTACTAAATCTTTTTTTTTGTCTGCTACTGCTGGGTCCTACTTAATAGTTTGTTACCTTATATTTAAGCACTGCACCAGCCTGTCAGTCTTCTTACTTTCACTCTCTCCTCCCGCCTTCCACCAGCAGCTCTGGTCACATAACACCATCTCCTCCAGGGGCCCTCTCAGGCCTACGGAAGAGAATGGAGAGTCCCCTGTGACTTGGGGAGGCCCATCTTTCCTGCCCTACCTCCTTGCACACATCGTTCTGCTGTGTGGTCCTCCCCACTTCCCTGGCACGTTCACGCATGTTCCCTGTCCTCTCCTCTCCGGCGCCCGCGCGAGGTCACCTTTCAGACCCCAGGGCCCTCTTCCATTCCTCTAAGAAGATTCAGAAGGAAAGCTGCACCAAGCCCAAGGAGGGGAGGCAGCATTGTGCGACCGAGGGACACAACGGGCTTGACAGTGACCATGTGGGGAGCCACCAGAAGTCAGATGCACTCCGAGCCCTTCCTATTCCCGCAAATAAGGCAAAACCAAGTCTTCACCGTAACGCAGACCGCTTCGTCGGCCTCTTTGGCGGCGCAAGAAGACTAGAGCCTCAGGGCGGCGAAGGGGATTGTGGGAGCGCCCTCCGTCGCCCCGCAGGCTCACGGGAAATGTAGTGCAGTTTCCTCCAATATGGCTGCGCCCAGGTAGTGTGCTGTGCGGTACCCGCCGCAGCTTTCGGGCACACACTGGTGAGGCTGGCGAAGGGGAGGGCGCCGGCGTAGCGAGAGTGCAGCCTGAGCCGTGGCGGAGATTTGTGGCGCTTCTTCCTGGCGGGCGGGATGGCTGCAACCCTGCGTTCCCCTGTCGGCCTCTTCCGGTCTCCTCTGTCGGCCTCACCCGGGTGGGCCTGAGGCCAGAGCCAGGGCAGGGATGACCCGAGCGGGCCCCTGGGCTGGTCCGTGGGCAGCGGGCCCTGTCGGTGTTCGGGGTGCAAGTGTGTGTTCCGTGCGGATGCTCACGTGCTGTCTGTGTCACTCTTCTGTTTCCTTTGGGGTTGGGGACGGGCGATCGCAGCCTGGGGAGGGTTAGCCTGGAGCTGCTCGGGCTTGTCTGACCTGTCACAGTGCAGTGAAGAAAAGGCATTGCTGGTGGTCTGCTGGGTCACACAGCTGAATCTTGCTGTGCTCGCGTTTGAGTAATCCCTGAGGCCCTTCGGCCCCTCAGGAGTGTCAGGGTATGCTTTCAGTTGATTTTATTTCACAGATATTACTGAGTACCTGCTGTATGCCAGGCACTCAAGTCTCTGACCTCAAGTCGACGACAGTTTTCTGGGCGAGCCCAGCACGCAAACGGGTAATTATAATACAATCTGAAAATGGCAGAGAGAGAGGCACACACCAAGCATTAGTGAAAACGTCGAAGAGGGCCCCCAAACTCAGAATTCTGAAGAAGTGGTTTAGGAGATAAGAAGGCAAGGTTGGTTAAGTTTAGTAAGTATAGGCTTACTCAGTAAACGTTTATTGGGTGGCTTTTCCTTGCTAGATCCTGTTCTAGGTGCTGAGTGCTCCAGGGTGAATAATACAGACAAAATCTCTACTTTCATAGAGTTTATTTTTCTGGTAAGTTAGAGGAGAAAGAAAGTAAGTTAATGAGGACATAAGAAAATATAGAGTAGGTGTTCTTCAAAGAATTAAAACAGGGTGATATGACAAGTGATGGGGTCAATTTTTTAATCATTTAAAATTTTAAGTTTCTTTTTTTAATAGGCAATGCAGTTTGAATAGCACTAAATTCAAATTTATCTACAAGCACAGGAACATTTTTCCATACTGTGTTGGTTCATTATGGGCACTCTGTTGTTCAAGGAGGGCAGGATCACACTACTGTTAGCACTTAGGGCAATATCCAATAGGATATGTTGGGGTTAAACTTACTAGCAGAGTCAGTGTAATCTCTAAACTCTTGTTAACTCATGGAGAGTGTGCTTGGACTGTTTTTGATTAGACTGGACTCAGTATGGCTAATAGTCTATCTAGTAACTAATGAGTGACCTCACTCCCGTAACATCCCATAACACTACCATAGCCTGGCAAGGAGCATCCCAACCTTTGTGCAATAGTAAAGATTTATTGGCCAGGGAAGTGGCCTTGTGAGCCCAGTTTTACACGTGAGGGCACCTCCAGACCTCAGCAGCTGGTATCAGCCTATTCCTTGTGTTGAGGCGACTCAGACCTGCTGGGACAGCACATAGCCAAGTCACTGGAATGGGGAACAATTGAGCCTCCAGAGCTATCTGGATTTGTCTTTGAAAGGGAAGAAGGGAAAAAACAAAAAAAACACACTCACTTGAATTAATAGCATTGTTTTTAGCTCAATAAGAATATTTCTGATTGAGTTCAGAGTTCCAACTTTATTAAATTTTTAAAGTATTTTCTAATTTTAATTGTTTGAACTCAAGTAAAGCATTTTAAAATTAATAAAAGAAAGGGAAGAAGATAGGGAAGACGACAGAATGTGATCCTGAGGCTCCATCTGCTGGTACTGGGCTCTTAGTTTCATGCTTTTAAAAAGACATATTCAGCATCTTTTTCTTATTTCTTCCACTTTGCAGTCTTTGCTCATGTAACATATTAAAACAAGAATTCTTAGTGTTTTTATCCCTTATTTTCCATTTCACACTGCAAAGATGCCATCCCGAAGGTGATGATCTTGAATGGCAATAAGATAGTTCCTTTGAGGGCCCTCAGCTTTTCTTCGTCTTCTTAAACCATCCTGGTCCTGCTCTTCTGGAAGTTACCAACAATTTATTAATAGACATATTTAATCCTTTTAACAAATTATGTGATAGTGTCAGAAATTAACACAGCCAGACATTAATGTGGTGAAAACAGATTTTGTTTAGTCACTACTGACAGTAGGGGAAAGAGCTGAGCTCCATTCCAATTTGTGAGAAATGACGTGGGTGTTTTAAAGGTAGAATGGGGTGGGGGGCAGAGCAGGGGCTCCGTGGAGTTAGAGAAGTGAAAAGTCACAAAGGGTTGGTCATTGCAAATGCGATTAGGCCAGCTGTGTTTGCTAGCCGGCAGTTATTAAAGATAGGATTCTATCCTACCGCAGAGACTGGGAAACAGAGGCCCTGTCCTTCCTGATGATTATATTTCAAAGCAATGACCCTCAGGTCCTTGAGAGAAATACTTCCTTTTTTTTTTTTTTTAAGATTCATTTATTCATTTTAGAGAAAATCCAAGTGAGTGAGTGGGGTTGAGGGGCAGAAGGAGAATCTCAAGCCGACTCTGCTTAGCGTGAAGCCCGATGTGGGGCTCAGTTCTGTCACCCTGAGATCATGACCTGAGCTGCAATCAAGGGTCGGATGCCCAACCAACTGAGCCACGCAGGTGCTCTGAGAGAGATACTTCTGAGTTGCAAGAGATACATATTCACAAATGTGATCCCCTTTAAGTAAATGCTGTAGGAAAGGGAGATAAGGGGCCCATCAGTAGGTGTTGCTAGAACAAATAGTTAAATTTCCTGGCAGCATTTTTAGTTTTCTCAGGCAGTCATTGTAATGGGGAAGCTGGGGACATCCTAGGGACATAGCTTTATGCTGCTAGAAGCCATGGTCAAGTTTGGTCTAGTTTTTTAGTGCAGGGTTTAGTTGGAATTATGTGCCAAGAGCAGGCACTATTAGCCCAATTTTACACGTGAGGGAACCCAAGCACAGAAATAAGTAACTCACACAGCATGGTACAGCTAGTAAGTGGTAGAGCTGAGATTTGAATGTAGAACCTGGACCCCTAAACACTGTGTTAAACTGTCTCATAGCACTCACGGAGACCGGGGAAGCAGTGAAAATTATGATTTAATCCTTGTCAAAAGAGCTTAAGTCCAATGGAAGGGGCCAAACATTAGAACAAATAATCAGTGCGGTGTCAGAGATCTCTGATCAACTACCCTCTTCCTGTCTAATGAAGACACGGAAAGCTTTCTAACCTGATTTTCCTTTTAGCCACTTTCTGCTGTTAACTGCCAGCCAGACATTACAACTGTGTATCTCACCAGAGCCTCAGAGCTGTTACATCCTCATTCCTACTCATTACCTCCCTTCCTCGTTATTGTCTGTCTTTCAGACCCTCTTCTGACTCTCCAGTTTCCGAATGCCATTGATGGTCTCGGTCACTTGGGCTCTGTCCTGTTAGGAAGTGATCTGTGTTTCCTCTTTCCCTCATGTATCAGTAGTCACCAAGTCCTACGGAAGGTACTAGAACTTTTCTTTGGCCCTCCCGCGTCTCTCTGTTTTCCTTTTCTCTTACAGCCTCCCTGCGTGTGGGCAGCGGCCTGTTGTTGCTACTTGCCAGGCCGGGTTACTGCAGATCCTCCTGCCCCTGGCTTCCCTGTGAGGCTGTCCAGCCCGCCTGCTGCTCTGGCCTCAGTTCCTCTCACACGCACCCTGTGGGTTAGTTAAGTTAGCTCCTGGCTGCTCTTTCAGTCAAGTCAGCATTTTCTCTCTAGACATAAAGAGTAGTAATTAGAGTTTTGGCTGTTTATGAGCTGTTTTAGAACATGATTTTATTTAACTTCCTAAATTTGTTTGCTAACTTTGAAGTCATTCAAGCAGGTGAAGAGTGGGATCGGTGGATCAGCCAACAGTCTCTGCTCTAAAAAAAATATGCCTACCTCTCACTGTCTTTGGCCAGACGCATCCATTTCTGTTTTTAGCTCCTGCTCTTTATTGCCTCACTGGATACCTCCCTTCCAGATGACTCCGTATTCCCCTTGCCCTTCAGTGCTCAGCTCAGGTCGACTTGTGTTTTGAAGTTCTCCCCGATTTTTCCAGTTAACAACGATCATTTTTTTTTCTAATTCATGTCACATTGAAAGACTCTACAGTTAACACTTAATTATATCAAGATATGTTATTCTTTCATTGTTTGGTGTTTGTCTGTGTTCCTCAACTAATTTCTAAACTTGTTGAAAGCACGAACTGTGTATTATAGTTGTAGGCTGCAGAGTGCTGAGACCATAAATAGGCACGTGTGTATCTGCCCATTATCACTCATTTATCCCTGCAACACATTTTTTTTTTTTTAAAGATTTTATTTATTTATTTGACAGAGACACAGCGAGAGAGGGAACACAAGCAGGGGGAGTGGGAGAGGGAGAAGCAGGCTTCCAGCCGAGCGGGGAGCCCGATGCACCCGATGCGGGGCTCGATCCCAGGACCCTGGGATCATGACCTGAGCCGAAGGCAATCACTTAACGACTGAGCCACCCAGGCGCCCCCTGCAACACATTTTTTATTGAGCACGTACTACGTCTAGCATTCCTGCTCGATTAAGCTACAAACGAATCATTACAAATTATGTTAAATTCTGTGACTAAAATAAATGGGCCACTGTAATAAAGCATGATGTAGGGTGTTGATTTGGATAGTGTGAATGCCTTTGTGGGAAAGTGCTCAGTAACTACGTGCTGACTGACATATTTTAGTAGAAGGAAAACACAGTTCTATGGGGTTCTTATATCTGTATTTAAAAAATTATGGATATAAATATATATAATATGTACAGCTTAAAAAATAAAAAAACACCTAAATCACCATATAGCTTAAGAAATACCTTTGATGCTTTTGTATGTGCCTTTTATATCACATGCCTCCCCTCCCACCAGAAATAACTTCTCTCCTGGATTATGTGTTTATTATTTCTTTGCTTTTCTTTGCGTTTTGCTATATGTGTATTTTTAAGCAACATATGGCTTACTTTTGGGTTTTGAACTTAATGGAATCATACCATATATTCTGAATTTTTTGTTTTCTTTCTTCTTCTTCCTCTTTCTTTCTTTCCTAACCTTATGTTTGTGAAATTTGTCTGTGGCACATTTTACCTAGGACTTCACGAGTAAGGGGCTATATCACCTATGGGTAATGTAGTGCACTTAATAGAGCATTGGAACATTTTGTAGAACCCTCAGAGATGCTCTTGCTTTTTTGATGTTCTTGCTTTTTTTGTTACCTTCTTAAATATCCCTTTGTTGTCCAGGCATCAGTTTATTTTCACTTCTCTTGGTTAGTGAAAAGTAAAGTAAGCATTTTAAAAAATGATCACATAGAAATATTTATAAGCTATAGAATATATGAATAGCATTGTTATAACTTCCGCTAGGGTTCTTAAAGTTGACATTTTATACCTTTTTTTCCCCCCAGTACTGTCATGGACAGCAACCATCAAAGTAGTTACAAACTCAATAAAACTGAGAAGAAGTTCTTGAGGAAACAGATTAAAGCCAGGCATACTTTGCTGAGACACGAAGGCATTGAGACAGTATCCTATGCCACTCAGGTAACCTAAAACTATTACCGTTTTTTTTTTTTTTTAAACTATTACCGTTTGAATGTAGCTGTGTCGCCATGTTAACGTGTTGTAGTCATATTTGTTAATAATTGCTCAGAGAAGAAGGCTGTGATTGTTCAGTCTTGTGTTATGTCTCTATTCAGTATACACATGACAGGACCTGCTAACTTTCTATTTTGGGGACATAGTTTGAATTTCCATTGACTGTGTTGGTTGAACTGGAGGGAGTGGTGGGTATATGTTAACAGAATTTACGAAGCATATTTCCATTCATTATTTAATTCCTTAGGAATTCTTACATGATGGGTTAGAGAACTAAGGCTCTGACAGGCGGTATGTCCTTTGATAGGGTGGCTGAACAGAAAACTAAACCTAAACCTCTTTTATATCCTAATGTAGTCTTTCCCCTCTATTCCTAACTTCATTTTCATTTTTGTTATAAAGTATTTTGATTATGTGCTATAAAACAGTTTTAATTTATTAGACCTTATTTACAAAACCTTTTCATTTTCTAATGGCAATAATTCAATTATATATATTATATTATAATATATTATGTGTTAATTATACGTATGAGGGACTGTGAGACTTCTTGGACTGTGAGTAAGACTTGGACTTAAGCAAACTCCATGCCCAGCACAGAGCCCGATGCGGGGCCTGAGATCATGACCTGAGCCAAAATCAAGAGTCGGATGCTCAGCCAACGGAGCCACCCGGGCGCCCCTGTTGAGGGAGATTTAAGTTTAGCAGGTAATAGGCCCATACTTAGATTCAACACAGTATTAATGACTTCAGAGAATTAAACCAAACTCCTATAAAGAGGATAGATACGTAATAGATTAGAAGTAATGTGGATGCACACGCGGTACTGTTTCTGCCAAGAGCCGCCGAGGCTGTGAGGCGTTCAAAAGATTAAACTGACATGGTCTCTGCTCCTCTCTTCCCAAGTATAACTTGCTTTCTTTTCCTTCTAGGGTCGTGAAGACAAGCGTAAAGAAAGAAATGGGTTATAATTTTTCTGCCTCTGAAGGTGTTTCTAGTGGATCTGTTTTTTTAGATTTCTGGAAGCTTTAACCTCACCTTCATGGCTTCTAAATTGTCTTCTTATTTGGGCTTGATTGTTTTTTTCTCCACAGTATTTTTACAAGAAAGGAATAAAATTCTAGAAGAACCTCTAATTGCATATTATCTGTCCAGGAGAGAACAAATGTTCTTTTCGTGATGTGTTATAAGTATATGTGCCTTTGTGCAAATTTATAGCCATTGTGAGATTTTTCTAGAGCAGTGGTCCTCAAATTGTCAGGACTGAAGACAACTACTTCATATTACTGGGAAGATTGCTTGCTTGAACAAATATAGATAAGACAGTTATTGCTTTTAATTATATTGTGTAACTCACATGCAATTGAAAATAAATTCCTCCCTTTCCTCCCCTCTGCACTTGTTTTTGTGTGGTTTGCCTTTAGAATTGCCCACAGATCACTTAGCATCCTTGAGGACCACTAGTATTCCTCAGGTCGTACCTCACCATGCTCCTCCTTCTCTAGATGGGGTATTGGACCCTTGACATTTATATCACCTTTGCAATTCCTTAGATTTGGGAATATAGAAATATTTTTGTAACTATGGCTGCATATAACCAAATTATTTTAGTACTTTAATTTATAAACCCTGTTGAATGAGGTCCAAGGCAAGCCATCTTAGACTAAATTTTATACCATGTTTTATATCATTGTATTATTGTATTTGTTCATCATGTGAATGTGTGTATTTGCAAACATACAAAGTATGGGGTCTTCCGTGACAGCACAGAGCTTTACTTTTCTCATCCAGTTTTATAATAATCTATTAAAACAAGTTTCTAGATATTCCCATTTGGTGTATATGAAACTTAATACATTATATTCTAATCTACAGCTTTGTATATAAATCAGGGGTCGGCGGAGTACTGTCCCTAGGTCAAATCTGGCTTGTAAGCTAAGAATGAGTTTTACATTTTCAAAGCGTTGTTGAAAATGAAAATAAAGTATGTGACAGAGACTTGCCTGAGAAGCCTAAAATATTTACCGTCTGGCCCTTTTCAGAAAAAGTTTGTCAATACCTGGTGTAAATGGTAAAACTGATAAGAGTAAGCCATCAGCGGTTTACTTCTCTTCTGCTACAAAGGTTTTAGAAGTCATAGATTATAAATTAAAAATATTAACACTGTGTAGAATGTTTTATAAGAGGTGCTAGGCCATAAGCATCAGAATAAAAATAGGAAACATCTCCCCCCGCCCCCCGACAAACCCCTTGAATAAAGTTTAGTGCAGGACTGCAGATAACAGGAAGTAAGCATAAGCATGAAATTTAACTAAGGAGAAAGTTTTAATTGCAAAATGACTGAATTACTCAGACACAGAGGAAAATTTTCCTGTTTTGTGTTCAGTAGAAACTGTAGTAACATTGTATCATGGTTATGTCAAGTGTGGATTCTGAAAACTGACAGAAATAGGTTTGAAACCCAACTCCCCCATCACTACCGAAACTTAATTTTTCTGCTATTCAGTGTCTACTCTGTGAAGTGGGACTAATATTACCACTTTGTAGGCTTGTTGTGAAGGTTATGTTAATGAGGATTAAGTAGGTAAAAGTAGGTATTGGCTGGCGGAAAGTATTATGTAACCCCTATTCCTTGTGTCCTATTTCTCTTTCATTGTGTTAAACTTGTAAGCAGTAATAAATGTGACATTTTAATTTGTATGTATAGCCATTAAGAAAGGAATATTTTACTGCAAGGTCTATTTAAAAATCAGTAGTATTCATATCATAGGTATACTTTTTAATCCACAGTATTTAATAAATTAATTTATATACTATGTATGAAGTTAGAAACCCAAATAACCACCATAAGGAAACCTTTTTTCCCATCTTAATTACACCTTTGTGGAGATCTTATTTAAAAATAATCTTATTTTAATAAATCTTATTTTAAAATCTTATTTGAAAATAAATGGATTGATACTAATTGCTCATGGTTTTTTTTTTCTTTTTTTGTTTTTTTAAAGAGCCTGGTTGTCGCCAATGGTGGATTGGGTAACAATGTGAGTAGGAACCAGCTGCTCCCAGTGTTAGAGAAGTGTGGCCTGGTGGATGCTCTCCTAATGCCACCTAGTAAGCCCTACTCATTTGTGAGATACAAAACTGCAGAAGAAGCTAAGGAAGCCTATGTCACCCTCAACGGAAAAGAAATAGTGGATAATTTAGGACAAAAGATCATTCTGTACTTGAATTTTGTGGAAAAAGGTATTAGTATGCAGGTGTCTTTTAAAAAATAGTTGTTGGTTTTGTGTGAGTTTTGTTTCTTTTCTTTTCTTTTCCTTTCCTTTCTTTTCTTTTTTTTTTTTTGAGTTACTGTGAAACCAAACAGGACCTCAGTTAAGCAGCCCCTTTTTGTCTGACAAACACTCTTTAGGCACCTAGTTTGTGCCGGGCATGGGGCCAGTCGTTGAAGGGATGTGGATTAGACATAGCCTGCCTTTAAGGAGCTGGGCCTACCACCCTAACAATATATTTATTATCTGTGTTACTTACTTTAGAATCGTGCTACCTAATTGTGCTTTTCAAAATTTAATGTTGGGGATTCAGATTACCAATTTTATAGTCTACCCAGAAGCTTTCAATTAATCGCTTAGGAATCAATTGTGATCCGAATGATTGTGTGCCAAGCTTGCTGTATGGAGGAACACCTTTAGCCACCAAGGATTCCTAAAGCTTTATGGTGGCCGTGTCCAGCAGAACTTTCTGTGATGATGGCAACGTTTGTATGTTCCTACCTGCACTGTCCAACGTGATTGTGTGATTGAGGAACTGGTTTTTTAATTAAATTTTAAGGAAATTAATTTAAATAAAAGCTTTATAGACCCCTATACAGAACGGCTACAGAGATGATTACATCTTTTCACCACTGTCCCATGGAAATAAGATGTACTGAGATGAACTTTGATGTAGACATCTGGTCTCCCATTATACTCATTTGCCACCTGCTTAGGCAACTTAATGTTTTGTTCAGATACCCCGGGAATGGGTAGGTGAGGATAATCTGACCAAATTTATGTTTTTGTAAAATAAGAGAGGAAACTTTTAAAGACTTTTTAAAGATATATTTTAGGAGTTATAATTCTCAGTATCTGTATGTATTTAATTTAAAATCTGACATAAGCTTTAGATTTAAAAAAGTATGTTATCTCTATATGTGTTTATGATCAGCTTTTGAAAACTGAATGGTTTGGGAGTAAGTTTTAATCAGAAAGTATTGTCCTTGGGTTTTCCCCTAGTCAGTGTGTTGAACGCTCTGTAAGATATTGCACAAAGTGAGTTCTGGGGTGTTCTTTATTTGAAATCCCACATTAGATCCAGGTGTGTTTCCAAGGCTGTTGTTAGGAAATAAATCCTAGTAGAAACAAATAGAGAACAAAACTGTGTCACAAATGTTTTGATACTGGTTTCGATAACTGCTACCACAGAGCCACTGAGTAAGAAATACAAGGGGTGTTTTTAATTCTTTTTTTAAAAAACAATTTTTAGAAAACTAAGTATGAATTACTTGTAGTATAAATTGCCTGTCTTTAAGGAATTTTCCTCAAAGCTTTCCTTACATAATTTGAATAAGTAATATAATGCCTGACATGTAGTAAACACTTAATAAATATTTATCAGGTGATTCACTATTTGTATTTCTGAAATAGTAGTAAAATCTAGTAGACGTTTATATTATTGTTTTTGTGAATTTTTATGTTAAGTGATTCAAGGATGAAAACTCTTCAGCAGAAAAGCTTTAGAAATCACGTCTGTAGCATGAACAATGAGATCCCTAAATGTGAATTGCATTATTCCCTTTAATCATAAATTCTTTCTTTTTCTTTCACAGCTACACTGTCTTAAACTTTGAAGGGCACAGGGACTTAAATTATTTAATATATACCAAATAATTCTTCATAGGATGATATTTTTATTTTTTTAGAATACGTTTTTTGTTGTTTTACCTTTTTCTGTTACTGGACCATACCTAGCTAGTATCAAGAATCTAAGGGCAAAAATGAGCATTTAAATTTTTGTATTCAATATTTAGAGACGGTCTGGCTAGAATGGCAAACTGTAGATATTATGACAAACCTTGTTTCTTAGTGAGATTTAAAAAGTAGCTCAATCATGTTCAAATAATATTTAAGTAAATACCGTTTTATTTGCTGTTGGTAATTGTGGTGGGTACAGTGTACCATAATCTTTATCTTGGTTTTTATTTTTGTATTTTCCTATGTCATGTGCCTTTAGCATTCTTATTTCTGAATATGAGGATTGGGACTTCTATGAACTGGTAAATGGCCCCTGGACAGAATTATTTGTATTTAGGAACTCTAAGTTTTGTATGTGACTGTTTTGTTTTGGTTTCCCACAGCACAATGGAAAGAGTTGGGGCTTCAGGCTTTACCTCCAGGCCTCATGGTAGTAGAAGAAATTATTTCTTCTGAGGATGAGAAAATCCTTTTGGAAAGCGTTAACTGGACAGAGGATATAGACAATCATAATGGTAAGTGAAACTTATCAAATTTGATATTTAAATGTCTCTGCAAAATGCCATGCTAATGCTTCTCCTTTCCTCCTCCTCCTTTGCTTTACTGACATTTCTAATATTTCCTCAAAATTACTGAGTGGCCTAGATCTAATATTAGGCAAGTCATGCCAACAATTCTTAGGGGCATTAATAATAAATGACATTTATATAGCTATCAATTTTAAGCTCCAAACTAATTAATATTTATTAGCTAACATTTGTAGAGCCTGCACTGATAAGCCCTTTTACATACATTATCTTCTTTGATCCTGTTCCCCCCGCCCCCCCGCCAGGCACCTTTCCGGTGCGGGATCAGCAGCTCAGTACCTTGCTGCGGAAATGCAGTAAGAGCTTCCTGGAGATATTTGCAAATTAGAGTTCCTCTGACTCTTTACAGATATAAAAGGTCTTGTGAGTGGCAGCATCCATGTTTGACTTTTTCAGGTTGATGGGATGAAACTCTCCAAGGGTTTGTTACCATTTTAGACTGAAAAGAACAGCAGAGATGAGGTAGAATGGTTACTTTTATTAAAGACAGTAATTTAGCAGTTACCAAAAATTACCATTACTAAAGGAATCCTGACTCACAATTTTGACTTTGAAACAGACAAAGGAATGCAGATATTTTTCTCTCAAATAGTTTACTTTCTTTTCTTCATTTAGTTCAAAAATGCTTAAAGCACAGGAGAGTAAAGCATTTTGGTTATGAATTCCACTATGAGAACAACAATGTAGATAAAGACAAGCCATTACCTGGGGGTAAGTAATTGCTAATAAACGACAAATGCTGGCTCAGAAAAGAAAGATTTAATATATTGGAAGTATGTCATAGTATATACTGTTTCATTTATCATTTCTGGGTAAACTGTTGAAATAGCTGATTAAATTTAAAACATTTAAATTACATACGTAGTGCAGTTTTGTTATAAAAACTGGATACATATAGCTAAGGCTAAAGTTCCTCTTGAACACCAGCCTTACTCCCGTGCTTCTTCTCAGAGGTAGTACTATTAACGGGTGAGTCCATGTGCTGTAACAAAGAGTTTACATCCCAGTAGAGATACTGTAAAAGTATGTAGTTGTTAACATGTAGTATTATATTGAGTATTATATGTTCTGTGTTCACATATTACATGTATGCCTCCAACTTGTTCTTCTTCCTTTATTGAATGTCTTGGAGATCTTGCCTGAATTTTCATTGTATTCAGTGTTCAATAGTGGCTTATTCCGTTAGCTCCCTGTTGGTAGACATTTAGATTATTTCTAGTTTTATAAGGAGTGATGCTCTGCATGTCTTTGTGTATATCTCTTATGCAGTAAGCAAGAATTTCTCAAGGGAGACTGCTAAGTAGTAGAATTGTTGTGTCAGTTATGTTCATTTAAAAATGTTAATAGATACTGAAAAACTGTCCCCAACTCAGCTGTATTGACATATCCTTACCGAGCGTGTACCTCCTTCCCCCACCCACACCAACATGTGGTATGACAAAACTTTTAACTTTATAATTTCCGGATTACTAGTGAGGTTGGCCATTTTTAATTTACCTTTCTGTGAATTCCTCTTCATATCCTTTGCCAGTTTTTTTCTAATGGGTTGACTATTTGATGAATAAGATTTTATTGTATGATCTGGATATTAAACCTTTGGTAGGATTGTGTTGGAGTTATATTTACTTGATGGACTTGAATCTTATTTAGGGCTTGCTTTCCCTCATAACATTTCTGATTCCAGTGAAAGTAAGTTAGTTCTACTTTGAAAACTGGTTTGTTTTTGTTTTTTAAATATTTTAATTTTTTAAGAAATCTCTACACCTAACATGGGAATCAGTGGGGCTCAAACTCACTTCCCGAGATCAAGAGTCACATGCTCCTCCAACTAAGCCAGCCAGGTGCCCCCAAAACTGTTTTTTAAAAGGAACTAATTTAGGGGTGTCTGGCTGGCACAGTTGGAAGAATGAGCAGCTCTTGATCTTGGGGTCATGCGTTCGAGCCCCACGTTGTGTGTGGAGATTGCTTTTTAAATAAAAAGAAAATTTAGGGGCGCCTGGGTGGCTCAGTTGTTAAGCATCTGCCTTCGGCTCAGGTCATGATCCCAGGGTCCTGGGATCGAGCCCCACATGGGGCTCCCTGCTCAGCGGGAAGCCTGCTTCTCCCTCTCCCACTCCCCCTGCTTGTGTTCCCTCTCTTGCCATGTCTCTCTCTCTCTGTCAAATAAATAAATAAAATCTTTTAAAAATAAATAAATAAATAAATAAAATTTTAAAAAAAGGAAATGATTTAGAGAATAAGAAAATTAAATTTAAATTTAATTTTAAAAAGTGGAATAATTTTAAATAACAAGAAAGAGTGGTCAGGCTAATTTCCAGCATGTAAGAGTAAATTTTATAATTTTATTGCTGTTTTACAAAGTGCCAGAATTGTGAGCAAAATTTTTCTTTTGGATATTTTGTTTGATTAAAATCAATAAAATAACTTTAAAAGATTCTGAAGGTTTTGTTTTTATTATTTTGTCTTATGGGTTTATTGTTATATTTAGACCTTGACGGCTAAACTAAAAGCTATGTGATTTTTCTCACAGCGGCTTTTTTTTATTCTTGAGTAAAACATGCAAAGTAAATATTTTAATGTTTTATCTTTATGATTACTGACATCAGGTCTTCCTGACATTTGGGATAGCATTCTGGAGAAGTGGTTGAAAGAAGGTTTCATTAAACACAAACCCGACCAATTGACTGTTAACCAGTATGAACCTGGGCATGGTGAGTATTTTCTTATTTCTACACTGCAATCATATATTTCATAACTGAGTAGATTCTTTAACTCCCTAAAATCAAAGATATGATTTTTTAGCTTAAATTCACTCTTCGCAATAATTTGCTTATGTTTGTTACCTGTGTTGACTTTAATCCCTTGCAGATCTACATGTTAATCCCTTGAGGAACTCCTGTCTCAAAGTGTAGCTAGGTAGGCTGGCACAGTTGCTCTTTGTGATTTTTTTTTTTTGTTTGCTTCTCAACATTTCATTTAGAGAGGGAGGAGATTGTTTCAAAGACATAGGAAGCATGTGTAGTAGAAGAACCACATAATTTGCAGATACCAGAAGAAGGCTGCTTGGTTGGATGGTCTTGCTCTTCTTTCTCCCCTGAGAATGTGAAGACAATTCTAGGATGATATGTTAGTAAAAATCTTTCGGCTCCTGAGTTTTTTGCACTTATTAGCAGCATCTTCATGTGATATTTGTAGTCATGAAATGATCTTAAGGATTTTATCAATGGCAGACATCGTGGGGTTTTGGGTTTTTTCCTGCTTTTATCATAATGTATTGTAATTACGTATTTACCTGTCCGTCTTTCTTTTGGTCTGTATGCTCCCTGAGGACAGGGATATGTCTTCCCTGCTTTGTATGCTCTTACCATGTGGCAAATCCTTTTTCTTGGGAGATGCTCAGTTAACGTAGTTGAGAAGTTGATGGAAGGAGCCATATCTGAATGATTGATATGCTTAGTCTTCACACCTGGCTCTTGCTTTTGTTCTGCATGTACTTGGGAATCCCGTGTTCACGGGCAAACATGACTTTGGTATTTATCTGTCACATGTTCTCTTGGGCTGGGATTGGGTAAATGCCTCAGGCAAGCAGTGACTCTCGCGTCTTGGTTTCAGAATGGACTGCCAGTGGCTCTTCAACACTAAGTGAAGATACTTTTAGTTCAGATTTAGTTTGATTTTATGTAGTCACATTCACCCTAGATGTTTCCTTTTAACTTAAAATTACAGTACCTTCCTGAGAACACCAGACAGTGTTCTCCCCAGTATAGTGTGAGGCTGTATGTATCTTAAGTCTACTGAAAGGAAAAATGAAGTGACCTGTTATTGTATTTTCTATCCCAGGAATTCCTGCTCATATTGACACACATTCTGCTTTTGAAGATGAGATTGTTTCTCTCAGTTTGGGGTCAGAGGTAAATGTTCAAACATTTTCATTAGCCATCAACAACTGTCTTACCTTATACGATGCTGTTTTCATGGGATTTCCCACATTTCTTAATTAAAATGAGTTAGGATTTAAACATGAGAAGTAAAGGTGCTATTAGTACTTTCATTTCTTATAGAATGTAAAATTATCACAGCCTCTTCTTTGGGGTGTCTGAAGTTTTATCCATCAGCTGATCAGGTGGTAGGAAAACCCCTGTTGTTTACACATTTTTTTGCGCATTTCGCTTCTAGCTGGTGAAGACAATGCAGACTACCCTCCTGACTCGTGCAGCATTGCCATCTAGTGGCAAAGGATGGTGACTGCGGGCCACAGGAAAAGGAACGCAAAAAAATGTGTGTTTCCAGAATTTTGATACTTTTTCACATATATCACCCGATCCAATCCCTTCAGAAACTCTGAGCAGTACAGGGTGATATCCTCATTTTTACAGATGAAGAATGCGAGGTTCATGTTTATTCATCGACTTGTTTGTAAAGCTGGACTTTACTTGAACTGCTCAAGAAGATAGAAGAAGCATGATTTAAAGTGATGGGTGCATCCTGCAGGTAGAATTTTAGTTAGAAATCAGAATTTTAAGTCCAGAAGAACCTTTAAAATATAAGGTCATCTAATCTAACTAGAGGTTGCTTCAAAATCTGATCTTGTTCCTGGAGGCGAATACTGTTTACTAGGTTGTTTTGTTTTGCATTTGTATAGTTCCCATCACTAGGTTTTTAGTGCTTTGGCTTTTTAACCCATACTGAGTTCTGTGCGATCATGTTGATGATGTGATGAGAGAATTAGTGCTGTTTTATGAGACGGAACCATCTTATCACTCACATGTGTGGATTTTTATTAAATGCTTTATAAAATAATGAGGACAGATAGGAAAAAGAAAGAGCTCTTCTCTGTCTGGCTTATTTTTATTTTACCTCTTATCCTGGTTTGTGGCTTTAGGGGATCAGTAAAGAACATCCTTGTCTTTTCCTCTTAACTGTGTAACCAGCTGAGAAAGGAGACATAACTGGAGATCAGAGTGTCAACTTTACTACTGAGAAAACACGGGAGATTTGTAGCCAAGTGGACGTGTTAATACTTCACCTCTGAATTAAAGTGACATGCCGTCCTTGTCACCGGTGCAGCCAGACAGCTGGAGACCTTCCTCGTAGAGGCAGGTTCTCCCTCTCTAACATCAGACGTGAAGGAGCATTTATTAGGTTCTGCACACCAGCTAGATCTGAAAAAGAGAGGGAAGAGCTCAGCTGAGAAAGCGTGCCCCAGGCTAGCCACTGGCCTGAGCCATGCCCTTCCTCCTGGACACTTAGAAGTAGAAGGAGTAGAGGGGCACCTGGGTGGCTCAGTGGGTTCAGTGACCAACCCTTGATTCCAGCTCAGGTCATGATCTCATTCGGGGTTGTGAGATCGAGCCCCGGGTTGGGCTCCACACTCAGTGGCGAGTCTGGGGGAGATTCTCTCCCTCTTCTCCCTCTGCCCCTTCCCCTGGTCGTGCGCATGCTCTCTCTGTAAAAAAAAAAAAAAAAAAATTAAAAAAGAAAAGAAGTGAAGGAGTGGAGAAAAGCCAGGTATGTTATTCCTATACTCTCACTCCTGTGGAAATTTCTGCCACACCTAGGGAAGTATGAGGAGTGGGACTAAATGTTCCTCCACAGTTGAAAATCGTAAAGAAGGGAAAAAGGTGCCCTTTACCTGCACTGATTATCTGCCGCAATTGTCACCTCCACTTGGTGTCTCTGAAGGCACATAATTTTTAGCTGCCAATTTGAATGATGGGGTTCGTGGTTAAAGCCACCTTGGTAATACAGAAAAGCATGCATGTTACAACTTACGACAAGAACAATAGATTTTCTTGTAATAGAATGTTTTTGACAGGTAGCTAATCTTCGTAATTTTGGAAAAAATATTTACTAAACATGTAAGTGTATCATGCTGTTTAAAAAGTTGGCTATATTTGGAGCCCTTTGTTTCATATGTAAAATGGGATTAATATTAGCTCTTGCCTGGCCAAAGGATTGTGAGTTAAAATATGTGAACTGTTTTCTTACTCAGAGCAGTTCATGGGTGTAGGGACTTACTAAGGTAAGCTGCTTCTTTGGTCCGTTCCTGGAAGGTTTCACTTCTGTAACAGAGGGAAGGTCACGTTACCATGGCCTCAAAATAAGGTTTCTAGTGGTCCCCAGAAAGGTGGCTTTCACCTTTTCTTCTTGCATTTACCCACCTTTGCGCCTGTTCTGTTTGCTTTTGACACTGTGTAGTTGCTTGCACTCTCTCCTGGCTCTTTGCCCCAGACCTTGAACCTGGCTCCCAGACTCCTGTCCCTTTTTCTTTATTTCCTCATCCTTGACATCCCTAATTGTTGTAAGAAATGTACTATAGTATCTACTCCAGCTTCCATTTCGTTGTCATAATTTGTCAGTGCCACCATTGTTTTTAGTGTTTGTTTCTCCTTAGCTAAAATCCTTGAGATTATACTTAACTCTTTACTTGTTTCCTTTTCCTAGAAAATTTATGAGAACTCCTAATTTTTTTTTATTGAGTATAATTGACATACAATATTATATTGATTTCAGGTGTAAGGTAGTGATTTGAAATTTATATACATTACAAAATGATCACCATAACAAGTCTGCCTTCACATCAAAACTCACGGAAAGACTGACCAAAGGGTTACCACAGTGCAGATAGCTGCTGGTATTAAACACAGAGATAGGGGCGCCTGGGTGGCTCAGATGGTTAAGCGTCTGCCTTTGGCTCAGGTCATGATCCCAGGGTCATGGGATCGAGCCCCACATTGGGCTCCTGGCTCAGCAAGGAGCCTGCTTCTCCTTCTCCCTCTGCCTCTCTCCCTGCTCAGGCTCTCTCCTCTCTCTCTCTCTCTCTCTGAATCTCTCTGTCTCAGATGAATAAATAAAATCTTTAAAAAAATAAAAAATAAACAGAGATATTTGGAGAAGTACTAATTTTATAAGAAGTTGGTTTATCAGTAAATATTTTTTATTATGATGATTTTTGCAACTGAGTGGGCTGGGCAGTTGGGTATTTGGTTAAGGAAGACTTTGTCTATTGAATGCCTGCTAGAGGGCTCCCGTCTTTCGTTATATTACCTGTTCTCGTTCCAGGCTCATGCTTTTAGCAAATAGTTACTGAGTCCAGCATGATCTTCTGAAATATAAGGTATTGAGTAAAAAATTTTTGTGAAATGTCTTGAGCGACCCAGTTTCTCTGTTGCCAGCTGAGTAGTTTTGTAGATTCTTTGTTTTTTTCCGAACTCCGTGTAGTTTGCCCCAGAGGTGTTCTGATGCTGGAGTGATTCTCATCACTTCCTGTATGTCAGGAATGACTCATAGGGTACTTCTCTTTTAGGAGCGTGTTGCTTTAACAGACAAATGTTTCCTTATTTTCTGATCCTCAGCACAAATTGGGGGAAGAAAACAAAGATACTTTCTTTATGGGGCTTGAAACAACTAATACAGTCTAGACCCTCAGCATCCTGACCACATCTTTAACCTCAAATTCAGCCCTCAGAATGTGTCTATATAAGCAACATTTATAGCCTCAGAAGCCAAGCAATTTCTTCTTATTTTTATCTTGGTTCTAGGCCCCAGACTTATTCTGTGAGTCCTTGGAATATTTACGTTTTGTAAAGTTCTGTCAAATAAATTGTGTCTGGGCGCCTGGGTGGCTCAGTTGGTTAAGCGACTGCCTTCGGCTCAGGTCATGATCCTGGAGTCCCGGGATCGAGTCCCACATCGGGCTTCCTGCTCAGCAGGGAGTCTGCTTCTCCCTCTGACCCTCTTCCCTCTCGTGCTTTCTCTCTCTCATTCTCTCTCTCTCTCAAATAAATAAATAAAATCTTTAAAAAAATAAAAAATAAAAATAAATTGTGTCTGGTATGTAGCTCCTTTCTCCCTTCCCTGTCCCTTAAAACTTATTTGTGATATATATTTTCCATCGTCTCTGTAGTGCCCTCAGCATCGAAAGGATGATGATCTGCTATCCAAGTGGGCTTATATTTCTCCCCCATTTTTGGGTGTGGGTGTGGGTGTGCGTGCAGGGGCGCTTTGTATCCATCCATAGCTGTGGTATGGCTGTGTGTATTGATGGAGGCGTATTGGGCCACGTCTTCATTTGCCTTTTTATCCAGTGTGTCCCTAACATTCAGAACTAATGTGAACCAGTGGATCTGCCGGTTTGTGGGCCAGAAGTAAATGCTTTACCTTGCTTGATCGTGTATTTTTTTATACATTGAATTCTATTTTCACTTAAACATTTCCCCTACTAACTTATGTTCTGAAGATTCCAGTTTTTGTTTAATTTTCTTATCTTTCAAGATCTCTTGGAAGCCCAAATCCCCTTTTGTGTAAATGGGGCAAATGAGGGTCTGCTGACAATTCTTACAGTGTTCTCCTCCTGTCGTTTATAAGTGGCAGTATCCATGCTGCCCTTGCAATAAGGATAATGGCAAAGAGGCCTGTTCCAGGGCCAGTAATCTGCTAAAAAAATCTGTTTCACAGCGTGACATCATGAAATAGAATGTTTTGTTGTATTTGGAGCCTTCCAAGTACCAATTCTTTTATCTTTTCAGGTAGAATTTGTACATTTACTTTGTAGCAAGACAGCAGCATTGTATCACTCCAGGTATATAGAATTAGAATAAAATTTATCAATTGGGTGCAGAAGGCTACAATAGAGGCCTGTTTAGGAGATGCAGTAGGAACCAGTGGTTGGCTGTTAATTGAGAAGTCACATGAATTTGGGGATAATATAATAAAAGATACGTACATATTGCAAACACTTTGTTTTAACCTAATTCACTCACCAGTATTTTGATGTAGGGCCCTTCTTTTTGGGAGGGTCCACAGTCTGCCTTGTCTTTCCAGTTTTCATTTCTTTAAGGTGAAGCGAAAGCTTAAAGTTACCTGTGACACCTGAGTGTAGGGTTTTATGTTTTGATGTTTCTTTTTTAAA